TTGACTCTCACTCTCAATACCTCAATGTGGGAGTTCTTGAACAGAGAGGCCGAAGAAGGGAGGTCGTCCAAGTCATAACTATCACCAGGACCTTTTTTTGTCATCATGCCTCCAAAACGAAACGTCGAAGACGAAAGTGAGGGCGCTCCACGGCGATCCAAACGCCTGCAACTTGCCAGAGACGACTCGGTCCTCGCAGCGGGCGCCAGTAATCTTAGACTCAGTTCCGGTTCTTAAAGCACTAACAAAAAAATTACATCACATGACCATAGCAAACTTTTACTGGCTGAAACAAAAAATTTTTGGTGCGATGTCAATCGAAATTTTTATGGAATAGTAAATGAACATGTCGAGACGACAATATCAATTGCAAAAAGAAGACATATTTACGATAATTGATACATATGAAAACAATGCTCCATAAGAATCAATTAAATCTTTTTCTACAGGCTTAACGACTGTCTTTTGTCTCTTTATTATTCGTTAAAAACAAAGATATACAGTATATTTGCATATTCACTAGAGCGATTGCATGGGAGGAAATACTCGGACCCAAAGCCATTAATGAGTATAACCTATTCTTTGGTCGCTCTAGTGAAATCTATGCTATAAATTATAATTAATGCTATTATCGTCTTCATTTCCCTTCCCTTTTTCTTTATCAACCCATTCATTTACGCCTTTGACAGTCCGTGGATGGTCTTTCTTCGGTAAAAGTTCTTTGATATAGAGGCAGCAACGCCTTTTCCTTGCGTAAGTCGCAGATTTGAGTGGCCACTCGTTAAATGAGAAATCAGATTCCAGCTCAGATTTCGTATCGAATAAGGGTTTAAAATATTTTCACAAATTGTCAATGTTGAACGAATAATGTCGTTCAATGAACGTTTACTTTTAGATTTCACTTCGATCATTTTTGATTTAACTGCTTGAACTGTTATCTCAAGCTTTTCGTTCATATTATTAAGTTGATTATACATTTCATAGTGGAGCGAGAGATCAAGGATAATCCCGATCAACAACCCGCAAAAGAATTGAATAATGAAAACAAGCATTTTTGAATTGTTTGTTGTTTGCAGTTTTTTTATCGAATAAATTATTTCGATATCAATACTGGAATGATTTTATGATTTGATTAAAAATATAAGTGCAAGTCGTGTTATTTTTATAATGAGCTCATCAGGTGCCGATCAGATTGTGTATAATATTACGTTAACAGTTACAGATTTGAAACAGTTGATTGTCGATCAAACAGTCTGATATTTGATGCAAATGAACAAAGGCGTCATCGTTTGGTGGTTTGCTGGTAAAAAAGAAGTCTGATGAATATGTCCCTCATTGTTGACAAAGAATCCGTCCCAGATTTAACATCTTTATTAATAATAATCCAACAGTAACAAGAAAGCAGCTATTTGTTTTATGTTTCTAGCTTTCGTTTTTTTCTTGGTTTATCATAAGTTGGGTTTAAGGTTCGTTTATGGTTTATTATTTTCCGTTCTTGTTGGTAAATTTCATAAGTAATTTTTTCGTTATCTAGATATTCCTGGAGAGTTTTGGTATCATTGATTTTAGAAACATAAGGTGCAATTTTTTCACCTTGAGCTTTTTTTAGAATGCTTCGAATAGTGCTGTAATTCTTGGGTTCCATGGTGGATTTGATATAAATTAGTTTCATATTAATATTTTTGTATATAGAGGTAATCCTATATTAATCCTGTTCTGGTTTATATTCACCACATTCTGGTATGATAAAGTGAGCATTAAAATTAACAAGTCCATGAGCACCATTATTACTTTCAAAATATCATTATTCAAACTAGTTAACTTTCAACCACATCAGCCTCTCATTTACATCACATTACAGAATGTTCACTTTGTCTGGTTTTGTTGCAGCATGCCCCAAATAACATTAGCAAATCCTAGCAAAACACTGAAATAGTGTCAAAAACAATATCTTTAACAATTCATCTCCAGTGGTTTATCTACAAATAATTACACTTTGTTTTTATAATTGTCCATTTGTGTCGGTTAAAAAAAGTTGCAGGGGAGAATGCAATAAAATACCTTAAATAGTAGTGAATTAATAAGATGGTATATAGACCATTGTAACGTAAACGGGCGATGCATATTAATATAATGAATTTTAGATAGTCAGGGTTTTATATAGTATGACCATAGAATTTGTTTCGTAATCTTAAGTTTAACCCGTCCCTGTCATACCATGAATAAAGATGTTATTCTGTTTACTTTAGTACTAGTACAGTAGTACTAATTTACTTATTTCTGTCACATGACTCACGACGATATCCCTGTTGACCAATGAGATTGTTCAAAAATGATTCCGAGAAAAAGGTTTGCCGAATTACGTGAAGCGTTTCAAGCTCTCTCTAGACCCGAGCAAGATATATTTGTAATGGCTCAGCTAAAAGCAATGAATGGTGGAGAAACAACTGCCAGCCGACGCCTTAAAAAGAAAACGCGTACTAATAAAAGAACTTTTTATTATTGAGATCGCAATACGCCACTTTGTCAGAAAACGTATCTCAATATGTTAGGAATAGGTCGCAC